CATGTTTAAAAAAAGAATTTGACAATCTCTGAATCCTTTTATGATTAAGAAAAAAATCTAACCAACTAGGAATAGAAAAAATTTCCCCAACCTGATAAAATGCATCTGTAAACAGCCCACAAACCCACATAACACTATACTTAATGACGAAAGATTGAAACTTCCTCTCTAAGATCAAAAGAAAAATATGGACAACAGCTTTCATTACTGCTTCTCAGCATTATACTAGAAGTTTGAGTTAAAGAATTAAACAAAGAAGAGACCTAAAATATACCTAAATTTGAAAAGAATTTAAGTCATCTCTACTTGCAGATGATACAAACTTAAATGTGGAAAATTCAGAAGAATTCACAGAAAGCATATTAGAGTTAATAAACTAATTCAGCAAATTCGCAAGATAAAAGATCAACATACAAAAATCATTTGTATTTCTATACACCAGCAATGAACAAGTCAAAATGCAATTAAGAAAATAATTTTATTTATAATAGTATCAAAAAGAATAAAATTCTTAGATGTAAAGTTAACCATTCAGGTTATAAAAGTTATATACTGAAAACCACAAAGTATTGATGAAAGAAATAAAAGGTCTAAATAAACCAAAAAGCATTCCATCATGGGTTGGTAGGCTTTATACTCCCCAAACTAATCTACAGATTCAACACAATCTTTATCACCTATTTTTGGGCAGAAACTGACAAAATAATCTTAAAGTACACACGGAGTTGCATGGTACACAGAGTAGTCAAAACAATCTTGAAAAAGAAAGACCAAGTTAGAAGACTCACACTTTCAAATTTTAAAACATATTGTGAAGCTACAGTAATCAAGACAGTGTGATACTGAAATAAGAACAGATACATAGATGCATAGAACACAATTGAGAGGTTAACATAAAACCAAACATTTTTGTTCACTTGATTTTCAAAAAAAGTACTAAGACTTAAGTGAAAGAATACTTTAACAAAGGTGATAGCACAACTAGACAACCCCATGTAAAAGGAGGATTGAATTCCTACCCCATAACATTTCAAAATATTAACTTAAAAATCAATTGAAGACTTAAATGGAACAGATAAAACTGTAAAAACTCTTGGAAGAAAACATATAAGCAAATCTTTATGAGCTTATATTTTTAGCAATGAGTCCTTAAGCTATGATACCAACAAGGAAAAATAGATAAATTGGACTTCACAGGGTTGTTTTTTGCATTTCACAGTTTAAAAACTTCATTACTCAAAAAATGATATGAAGAAAATGAAAAGACTACTACAGAATAGGAGAAAAACTTTCAAGTCATATTTGTGCACCAAATATATTTTTTAAACTTTTACAATTCAACAACCAAAAAGTTATGCATCACATGACATTGTGGTGGCCCCATAAGAATCAGCTGCCTGGTAATATCGGAACCATCCTGGTTTGTGTGATATTTGTACAATGGAGAAACTGCTTAACAACACATTGCTTAGCAACACAAATCCCTGTTGTTAAGCAAGATGATTGTAAGGTGAGGGCTTGACTAGACATTGCCCTAAAGAAGATATGTAAATGGACAACAAGCACATGAAAAGATCCTCAAATCATTTGTGTTTGGGAAATAAAAATTCATGGCTACAGTGAGGTACCACTGAAAAGGGGTAGTGGAATAGCAAGTGTTCCTGAGGGCACAGAGATTGGTGGAAATATAAAGTGGTTTGCTATGTGAAAAACAGTTTTATGCAGTTAAATGTGGGATTCTACTACGACTCTCTCTTAAGCATTCACCCCAGAGAATTGAAAACAGGTGTTCATAGCAGCACTGTTCCTAATCATCAAAGAATAGAAACAATAAAAATGTCCACCAGCTGATGGATATATAAGCAAAATGTGCCATACCCATACCATGGGATATTATTTGGCCATGAAGGAATTAAGGTACGACATGTTGTATAATGTGGATGAAACTTGCAAAATCATGCTAAGTGAAAGAAGGCAGTCACAAAAGGCTATGTACCATATGACTCCATTTATCTGAAATGCCTGGGGAAAGCAAACCCTAGAGACTGAAAGCAGATTAGTGATCGCCATGGACTGGAATGGGGGAAAGGTAATGAGGAGTGACTGCTGGATGGATGCAGGGTTTCTTTTGAAATTAGATGAAATTAGAACCTGGGATTGGATAATGGTGATAGCTTTAGAACACTAAAGGACTTAAAACCACTGAAAAATACAGTTGAAAAAAAATTTAAATAGTTGATTTTTATTGGGTGATTTTTACTTCAGTTAATAAATGGAGAATACACAGAAGCACAAAAATTATATATTTCTTTAGGTACCAGATATACTCTATAAATGCATAGTTAATTGTTCAGATTCCACTTTAAAAGGACCACAGTTCTGGAGACTGGAAGAAAGGAGGGTGAGCTGAGGTGTGGTGAGGACCTCACGGTGGACAGCATCACAAGAGCAGGACTGTGTGGATAAAGAGACCACACTGCACACAGGAAGCCAGAGTGATTAGAGGTTGGGCTCACACTCAGGATAACTTGCTCTTTGAGAGTTCAGCAGCTCCACAAGAATTCTTTTCATCCCTTCTGAAAGCAACACCCCAAAGGTCATAAGGGCCTCTTTCACTAGAGTCACCCTCTTCAAGTTCCATCTCTAGCACCACCCTGGGACTAACTCCATCTGTGAACCCTTGGGGGTACACTCAAACCACACCTGAGCCACAGCACCCCCAACACGTCAACTGCCACTTTGTGAATAACTGCAAAACTGAACACAAAGAGCATACTCAAGAAGAAAATAAAGGCATGGTATTACTGCAACTTCTAATCAGGCCAGAGTAGGGCGGGAAAGGTGTGCTGTGGTGACCTCACCTGACTGGGTAGAGCCCTGGAAAGTTGGCCATGTCCACTGCCCTCTTCTAAATGAATAGACTGCTGACACTAGGATTGACAATTTAATACGGGGGTGAATGTGCCGAATATAGCAGCTGTGCTCTGTTCGGCCAGATCAGTGAGCACTAAAGGAAGCAGAGGATGGTCTCTTTTGAGAACTTTGAACATGATGAAAGCCAGTTGCCTGGTTGTTGTTAGGGACAGAACTTCTAAGACATCCAGATGGACACAATCATGGTACTAGTATAAGGCAGCAGGAATCTCAAATACACATAAACAGGAGCCATAGATAGTGCCTGGCTCAACAAGCCATGGCACCCAGCATACCATCATGCAGAAACAGAAACGATAAACAGATCCAAAAAAGCTTCCAAATCCCAAAGGCCTTGTGGCACTTCTATATCACCTGCAGATTCACTCCTAATTCAGAACCCTAGGAACACAGCTCTGTGAGCTCACAGGAGATCTGGCTGCATTACTGCACTTTCACAGCACAGCGGGACACATCTAGGTTTTGTGAGAGCTTAAGCTTATATTATTTGGAAGGTCTAATTTAAAAAGCAAATGTAGGGCCAGGATTTAGCTCAGCAGTATAAGCATCTGCCTGGCAAAAGCAAGGTTGATCCCTGGTACCAATGATGATGATGATGATAATAACAATAATAATAATAAAGTGTAGAAAATTACAGATATAGAATGAAGTGAGTATTTTTTAGGACAAGAAAAGAAATCCCAAATTTTTAAAAGTTGACAAATACTTCAAACATAAGTGATAGACTAGAACCCACACAAAGCCAAGCCAGACATTCTACCTCTCATTCTCTTGAATGTTTTTATACTATTTTGTTATGTTTGATACTATTGTATATGAAGTTATACTCAAATATTTCAAAGAAAGAGACATTGTGGTAGTTACTGTTAATTACGGGTTGTCTTCTAGTGAAATTCTGTGTTGCTTACATTGTTCTGTTCTGATATGCTTTATGTCCTGTTTTATCTTAATCTCTTTAAAATTAAAAAAAAGCTTTTTTGGGCGGGAGTGGACTGTCTTGTGGATTAAAACAGCCACCATTTGGCTTGGGGAAGGGCTTTTAAAGGTTGTTTTGTGGAGAAGGCTTTTTAAGGGTTGTTTTGTAGGTGAGCCACGTGCAAGCAGCAGTGTGTGACACAACTGTTATCAGGTACCCTCCTGGGCAGGGTTGACTTTTGCAGTTGGAACAGTTCTGGGAAGTTTCTTTTCTTGCAGCCCAAGCCTGGACAGGCTGACCACCTAAGAAGCTGCTTTTTTTGCAACAGAAGTGTGAACAAGCTCTGGGGGCAGACTGACCCTTTAATAAGGTTTATGTTAACTTTCCATCTCTGTAATATTTTTTCGTACATTTTTACCTGTATAACTATTGAGTGCTTCTTCATACATATGATGATTTTGCAACATGATTTTCTATAGAAATGTGTTAATTAGTGACACTCAGAATGCATACAAATGATTTCTTATACTAACTTCCACACTGTTCACAATTGCTCTCCTGGTTTTTTCCCTATGATCACACAGATTCTAATAAATTCTATTTCACAAAATTCCCATCAAAAAATAAAAACCTATGATTGTTTATAATTATATCATTGCTTTTCAGAGTATATATTTCTAACCAAAGAAAATCTCAATTCTAATTAATCGTCAATGAGAGTTGAATTTTCTACCTACAGTTTTACACGTCTGCTTAGAAGAGTTTTTTACTTACCTTCTGGCTTTATACTTTCCAAACCTTACCTTTCCACTCTGTCCAATCCTCCTGATGCTTGGCACTGCCACTAGAAGGAACAGAAACAACTGACTGGACAGTGTAGGAAGAGAAGGATTAAGGGGCATGTCGGCTCTGAGAAATAAACTGAAGGTAAGAGATAATGGTAGACACCCAGAATGATAGGAATGCATACATAAGATAACCGGCCAATCCAGAAGAAAATACAGCACGAAAAGGATAGATGTGGATACACTGGGTCAGAGCAGGTGGAGGCTTTAGCGCAAGTGGGCGGGGCCTGATGATGAGGGCGTGGCTAACAGTTGAGGGTGTGGCTAAAGACTAGTGCTTTAAATAAGGCCTAAGTAGACTAGAGATCAGGGCCATGGACACACAAACTGTGAGTACGACCCTTCCAGGAAGGGCCTACCTGTTGAATAATGAGAGGGTCTAAAGAAGAGCGGGGAGTGGAAATAAAACGGACTGACCTAGAAACAATAGAGCAGGGCCCTGGGCTGGATTCCCTTTCCTTTTAAGTACCAGAGGTGGGGACAGAAGTAGTGTGCGTCCCCACTGAGCCCTTTATGTTCTTTCCCTCGATCAGTTAGAGAAGGCAGCCGTGAGGATCCAGTCATGGTGGCGTGGCAACATGGTGCGCCGGACGCTACTGCACGCAGCACTCCGGGCCTGGGTCATCCAGTGCTGGTGGAGGTCGATTCAGGCCAAGACCCTGGAGCAGAGAAAACGCCTGGCACTAAGACTTTACACCTGCCAAGAGTGGGCAGTGGTGAAGGTGCAGGCCCACGTTCGGATGTGGCAGGCCCGCAAACGCTTCCTCCAGGCCCGACAAGCTGCCTGCATTATCCAGGCTCACTGGCGCTGGCATGCCAGCCAGACAAGAGGCCTGATCCAGGGCCACTATGAGGTCAGAGCCGGGCAGATGGAGCTCGACATCGAGATCCTCATGACCTAGGACACCACAAAGCCAAAGAGACTGGATCTCTCTCCTAATAAAGACAATTACTGACCACAAACATGCCCTATGGAGAGTGGGCCCCAAGAGAGGATTCAGCCCCTAATTTTCCTGCCTTCCACCCAGAAATGTTTGCTGTGATCTAAAGCCCCCGTAACCAGGGACTGAACCTAGGTTCAGGTTCTTGCTCCTGATGTCATCCCTGGCTAATTACAGGGCCTAGGTGAAGCTCAGTGCCCCGATAATTTCAGTCCGATAATTTCAGCCTCTCCACAGTGGGAACAGGCCTTGACTTCCTCTTCTTGCAGCTCCTGCCTAGACCTCTCCATTCAGAGTTGGACACTGGGGAGTCTGGCTGCAGCAGGGCCAACTGGGAAGCTGGGATTCCACAGGCCTGTCCTGCAAGCCACTGAGGACCAGTGTAGTGCTCAGCAGGCAGCCCAGAGGACAAGGCACCTCAGCTGAGCAACAGCAGGACAGGCGCCGTGTCTCCTGGGGACAGAGGGACAGGCAGTCAGCCAGAGCCCCTGGGGAAAGCAGAACAGGGAGCTGGGGAGCAGCAGCTGTGTTCACTGCCTGCCTCCCCTGAAGCTGAACAAATAGCTTTCTCCTCTCTGCTGGACATTTTCTGGGAGAACCAGACATGGGAGGGGGAGGGAAGTGTTCCCCCGGGGGTGAATTAACAAGTAGGGAAGGCTGGGGTGTGCAGGTGAAGGGCTTCTCTGCCACTAGAAGTCATGAGTCTGGGCACACAGCCTCTACAGCCTCCCATTCTTAGAAGCAGTTGTCCTCCCCTTCCAAGTCCCACCCCATACCCTCCCCACACCACCACCCCTCTGCAAGGCCTGCCCAGTGGGGTGATGATCTGCTGCTTTGCTGGGCCTCACTCTGCGCGTATGCATCTGTGGTGTGAGCACTTCTCAGCTGGTTTCTTACAGTCTTTACCTCATCATCCAGAGCAGACTCCTCACTCTTACCCTGATCTCTCAGGTGCTGGTCCCTGAACCTCCATCCCAGAAATCTGAGGCCTATGACCCTCCACAGGGTCTTTTGATGGCAGGCTCTGCACAAGGGGTGAGAGAACCAGAAAGGAAGAGAACAGGAGACAGAGGTCTTTGTGGGCCATACAGTTTTTCCCAACCCCAAACCCATCTGGTGAGTGTGCATGCGTGTGCATGCATGCATATGTGTGTCCAGCTGTCTGTCTGAGGCGGGGAGCCTCCAGTGCAGCTGTGGAAGGGGTGAAGGTACTGGATTTAGTCTGGTACTTATCACCTCCAGACCAGTTAGGTCTGCAGCTGATCATGACAAGGATTCTGCCTGAATACCCTTGTGGCTACCACCCCAGTAGTGAGAAAGGCTAACTCCTGGGATGTAGCTCAATGGTAGAGTGCTTGCTTAGCATACATGAGGCCCTGGGTTCAGTCTTGAGCACCAAAAAGAAACCTGGGTTAGCAAGAGTTGAAGACTGTAATACTAACTACAAAGAACGCTGACATCTCTAAGGTCACCAAAAAGTCCCCAGCCTGGATCCACCCAAAGATTCTGCTTTAACTGGCCTGGCTGGAGGCCTGGTCATTAGGATTCAGAGGTAGAGCCACAGTTTGAAAACTGTTCATCATAGTGAAAAATCATATTGGGCAGCTGGGAACAGAAACCTGAGACAGTGGCGAACCAGAAGAGCAGCTTGTTGTCCTCTCCCACGGTGAAGCTGAGCAAGGGAAAGTCCACAGCACAGCAGCTGCTCTCCTCTCCCGATTCCACACTGCACTGTGGGAGTTGACCGTAGGCTTTGTGCTCTCAGGGAGATGCCAACAGTTTCAGCCATCACGTCTATATTTCAGATAAACAGAGGGAGGGCAAAATTTTAGGTTTGTCTCCTGGGAGACAAACTTCCATATTTCTGCAGCTTAACTGAAATGTTTTGGTTTGGTTTGGTTTGGTTTGGTTTTGCATCAGAAATAAAACCCAGGGCCTTGGGCTTACCAGGCAGGCACTGTGCCACTGAGCTACATCCCCAGCCCCTGAGGTATATTTCTGACTCATGCAAAGCCTACTGAGATCTAGACAGTGTCTCCATATAACTGCTCAGCATCCCAGGCTGCTCCACCCAGACACCAAACCATGGGCTGTGAGCTCCTGCCACTGTGCTCATTCCAGCAGGGAAAGGTAGGGGTGGAGAGAAGAGCACCCGAATTTCAGCCTTTCTCTTTGCAGGGTCCCATTTGCTCTCATTTCTTTTTTTTTTAATTTATTTTTAAGAGGTAAAACCAAACAAAGTAAAACAGAATAAAGCCAATCAAAACAAAACAATGAAAGTGATACTGGACTTCAAAACAGTATAATAGGCAATAAAAAATGGCTACCATAATGTCTCTTCTTATCTTCAAAATGGCTGCCCATATGATCAAATCTAATAAAATCAAATAAAACAGAAGAGAATAAAGCCTAGCAAAACAATACAATTAAAGCAATACAGAACTTCAAAACAAGATAGTAGGAAATCAAGAATGGCTACAATAATATATCTTGTTATCTTCAAAATAGCTGCCCATGCTATCAGATATAATCAAACCAAACCAAATAAAGCTAATTAAAACAAAACAATGAAAAGAGTATAGGACTTTAAAACAAAATAGTAGAGAATTAACAATGGTTATCACCTTCCCTTTTTAGATGTTTCCTCTCCTTTCACTTTCACAGTATCTACTCTACGTTTTGGATCCCACTAACTCCTTTAGTTTCTTATATTAAGGAGGCAACATATTGTTCAACTATGTGAATTTGCTCTCATTTCTTTAGGTGCTGGGAATTGCACTCGGCATGCTAAGCTGTCAGTCTCTTACTGAGTTGCACCCCCAATCTCCTCCCATTTTATAGACTCAGCTAGACTGGTAGCTGCATTTAACCTCAAGGAGAAATGAATTACAGTCTCCCCACATGGCTGAAAGGAGAAAAGAACATAGAGGAACAGACCAATGTCTCTCACATCAGGGTACCCTATGTAAGATAGAAGTGAGGGTTAAGGTCAGGGAGGTGGGTGGCAAACTGGTCACGCTCTTAGGGCATTAAAGGAAAGCATAGAGAAGAAAATTCGGTCACTCCAGTACAGGTATGAAATGAAAAAAAAAAAAAAAGAAAAAGTCCCAAGGTCAGAATTTTTCCATATTAAATAGATATTTAATATGGAAGATCTCTTGCTGTGGGTATTCTAAAAATCCAGCCATAGTTGTTTATAATTGACATACCTGAAATGAAAGGAAGCTGGAGGCTGAAACTAAGGTAATATACAGTAAAGAGTAAAGCAAAAGAGAAACTTTTATCTGCTTCAAAATATTTCATCATCATCTCATGAGACAGAGGTAAAATGAAGATAATTAATTTCACCCAGAAAAGCTCAGTCATGAAGAGGGAACAAAGGCCTTGGGTGGGAAAAGGACCATCACTGTGGGAAAGGAAGTGCAAGAGGAGAGGGAAGAAGCAGCAAGGAGGAAATGGGCAAAGCAAGTGCTCAGAGGAAAAATGACCTGGTACCCGAGGCCCCAGAACAAGTGTCTGGTTCCAGGACCACACCTCTAAACTGCTCTCCTAACTGTCACCTCCAGAGGCCTGGGGACTTCAGCTGTAAGAAAGCCCTGGTTTAATGGTGCTTTTTGAAAAAAGGCACACACACACACACACACACACACACACACACACACACACACATGCAAATGTTAAAACACATATACATTTAAAGAGCAAAATGGGTGTCAAAGGCTATGGGCACTCTTTGTCACTAGGAAATATTCTATAAAATATGCTATAAGCCAGTGATCCTCAATCTTTTGGCACCAGAACCCGTTTGGTGGGTCATAGTTTTTCCATGGAATGGAATGGGATGGAAAGGATGGTTTCTGGGTAATTCAAAGGGGTACACAACCTAGACCCCTCAGTGAGGCAAGCGCCATTTTAAGAGCACCACGAGGCTTGCCAGAGGGAGGTACCATCTTAGGGGCACTATAAGGCTGTGTAGCTCAGAGGGCCTTGTGCAACCATCTCCTCAATCTTAGGATCTGCATGCTGCTTGGCAAGCAGCTCAGAAATTAAATTCCAATATGCAAAGGTAGTCACCGGAACATTTTCTGGACCAAAAACTCTATAATAATCTTTTAAAGCATCTCTTACTCTTTTCCACCTCTTGGTATCTATAGAACCCTCTAGGGGGAACCAAGGGCAAACCTTATGAATAAATTGAAAATACTGCAAGAATTCTTTTGTTCTAACCCTTACCCCTCTTGTCTTTCATGCCTTTATAAGGCCTCCCATGAACACTTTGTGTTCACTCAATGCTTAACCCATGTCCGGGAAAGGGAATGGGGTCGCTGTTCACTCACCATGACTCAAGCAGGACGTTAGGTAGTCGTCTGCACAGGCCTCGGTACTTGATTTAATGTCCTTTTGCTTTTAGCTTTAATCGTTGATTTAGTTTGCTCACTCCTCACCACAGTCTTTGGTTTAATTTGCTTTCACTTTCAGCCGGCTTTCTGGAACGGCTCCCTCATTGACTCCTCTGTGCCAGGAGCCCCTATGCTGGGTGCCACTTGATCCAGCCCACGGATCAATCCGTGGGGTGTACCTGGAGAGGGAACAGGGATTAAAATAAAAACATGAGGGAGACAGAGAGAGACTGAGGCAAGTTGAGAGAGTCCAATCAAGCTTCATCTTTTTTTTTTTTTTTTTTTGTCTTTTTCCTTTTTATCGGTACCGGGGATCAAACTCACAACTGTCTGCTTGCAAGGCAGGAGCTTAGCTGCTGAGCTAAATCCCCAGCCCCCATGCTTCATCTTATTCTGGAAGTGATTACATCTTTTATAGGCCAAGGGCGGGCTGGTGGGACAGGAAGAGGCTATGGGGATGAATACAACAAGGTCATCATCACATCCGGGTATGTGACATAAGCAAGAGAGGATTATGGTTAATGTAGGCAGACACATTGTGCCCATAAGGAGAGAGAGAGGCAGGGAGGCAGCACGTGGCTCCCTACAGTCGAGCACCATAGAATTTAAAA